TCGTTGCAATCACTTCACCTCACAAACAAGCACGTCCGCTCAGCTCGGCTGTTCGCACTGAACTGAATTCATGGATAGATTCCCGAAGCAAAAATATTGCGATTTAGCCGAACTTACCTTAGTCCAAAAGTTGATAGTTGAAGAGATACAAGATGTTGAATGTAAAATATTATTTCAGTTTATTCTCATTCATTTCTTAATAAATGCAAATATCTACACAAAATTTTGGGGTTTGGGGTTTTGTGGGTAGAGAAATTGAATTTGTTCACATTTTGGTTATAGTTCATAGAGGGCGCCAGCTGCCATAGATTGAATGTGTTGAAAATGACTTAACTTTTTTACACTTTAAGGTATCTCATCTTTGGCATCAAATTCTTAATTTCCAACTTTTTTTAGACAAAAAAGGTAAACTTTATGAAAGTAACTGTCTCACACCGTTCCCGAGATATTTGGCTTTACAACTTCCAATGCTAATAGTTGCAATAATTTAGAAATGTTAAAAACAAGCGTTTATTTAAAATTAAAAATTGTAATGAACAGTAAAATATGCCTTTTTGACAATAATTGCTAAAAATGTCCACCTCTAACTTCAATATATTTATCAACGCGCTTATTAAAATATTGTCTTATTTGTATAAATCCTTAACGCAAAATGACTTTGCAGCATTTAAAGCCCGCTGCATAAGTTGTTCTCAGGTGTTTATAGTTTCTGTTTTCATGTAACTCCAAAAACGAAAATCTGGGCATTCTATCTCACATTTATGTATACGAGTAAATAATTTAAATTGTGAGCTAAGATGTAATTTCAATTAGGTACGAATAATACTCGCGCCATTATTCCATGACTAGAAATTGGCCTCAATGAATTGGGATCGAGGGGGATTATCCCTCTTTATCCTGCCTCATCTCGTGTAGGCTTGGACAGCCTTCGTAGGTGGGCCCCATCCGTCGTCTACCCCGACCGCAAATGCGGCCGGTGTAGGCGCTTTGTGGGACCTCCTTTTGTCCTGGCTGGGCCCCGCCGGCTAGGGCCCTTTCTTCTGGCGCTCTTCTTGCTTCGCCGGCTCGTCTGTGTAAACCCCGGGGGTAGTGTCATGTTTATGTGTGGTATGGTTGGGTAGGGTAGTGCGGCTATGCAGCCTGGGATGCGCTTTGCTAAGGTGGCCCT